TCCCAGCTACTTGGGAGGCTGAGGCAGGAGACTCGCTTAAGCCCAGGAGTTGGAGGCTGCTGTGAGCTGTGATGCCATAGCACTCTACTCAGGGGGATAGCTTCAGGCTCTGTCTCAAAAAAAAAAAAAATTGCCAGTGCTAACTATATTGCAAGTCATCACAGGAGCATATTGGGAACAGTTTTCAATTAGCAATAATCATGCCTCAGATAAACCTGATTGGCTACGATACTGCCACTGCACATTTCTAAAAACTCCAACATTTGTTGAGACCACAGACAAATCAGGTCCAATCAAGACAACTAGCTAGAAGCTCGGTGCCTGTGGCTCAGCGGCTAGGGTGTCAGCCACATACACTAGAACTGGCAGGTTTGAATCCAGCTCAGGCCTGCCAGACAACAATGACAACTACAACCAAAAAAATAGCCTGGCGAGCAGGTGCCTGTAGTCCCAGCTACTTGGGAGGCTGAGGCAAGAGAATCGCTTAAGCCCAAGAGTTGGAAGTTGCTGTGAGCTATGACGCCACGGTACTCTACCCAGGGTGACAGCATGAGACTGTCTCAAAAATTTAAAAAAAAGAAAACTAGCTAGAGCTAACTTTCTCTGTTCTGTGTACCACAGATGTACTCCACTCATGGGAAGCAACATCACACAAGAAGCCTCTGAAACACAGGACTATAACTTAGCTCCAACAGTCAGCCCTGCTACCTGCAAATGAGACTTCTTCATAGTCACTAAGAAGAATCCAAGATGAATCCATCTCTTACTTTTAGTAGAAGCCTTATGTTAATAGTACATATTTATAGGGGAGAAGTATGCAGCCAATCCTGAACTACAATGGGACAAAGAATGACAAAGGCAAAGGAAGACAAGCCCCTTTCCTAGCTACCAGTATGCCCCTCAATTACATAGATGAGATCATAGCTGATGCAACAAGGCAGTGATTCCCTGAAAGCAGGTCCCTGTTGGCCTGGCACAAGAGCAATGCTCAAATATTCCTCAGCCACACAGATGCCCCCACTTGCTACCCCAACCCTCACCTGGCCTGCATCCAGCCCTTGGGCCAGAGAGGCTTGACCTCAGCATCCAGGAAGGCCTTCACGCAGTCCTCCCAAGCCTGGGCCTTGTTGTTCCTCTCCAGATCATGGCTCTCCAGCTTGGTCTTCACCACTTGGCACAGCAGCTCCCTGAGGAGGCAGAAATCAGAATCTTCAAACCGCCCCAATGGTTCTGCAAGGTTTCAACCGTGTGCTTCCAGCAGCCCTGATGAAAGGAAACAATCCTAACCTTCAACAGCAATACGGGGACACGCTTAGACACTGGTCCCACAAACCCTCCTATGGGCAGGGTCCCAGTGCATACACACCTGATTTCATCATTCCACTGGAATTTTTTCCGGGGCCCCATTATCCTCCTGCCACCCCTTTCCTCATCTTCCTCCTCCTCAGAGCAAATCCGCTCTCTCTGCTCCTTGTCTTTTTCCTCTTCCAGCATCCTACAGGGTAAACAGAATTAAAAGGGACCCTGAGGTCCTCCTGTCACAACCTGTCCATCCCCCTGTAAGATGGCGACTTCGCAGATGAGGGGAAATGCTCAAAAGGAATGCCAGGAGTGTCCTTTGGAAATGGAGTAAACACTGGGAAGCATGGCAAGGGGGTCAGGAGAGTCTCAACCAAGCATAAGCACTGGGCCACACTCACTTAGCAACCTTGGCCTGTGTGTGTGCCTGGCATTCATCCTGGTACTTGGCCATCTGTTCTGGCATGGCCCTGCCAATGGCTTCCTTGAGCTTCTGGAGAGGCTCCTTCAGACGCCCCCCCTGCAGAGAGCAGGACACAAGAGAAGACTGGTTTACAAATCACTCTTACTAGGGATGCACAATGGGGAAAACCGAAGGCAGACAGTGTGGCAGCAGAGGCGGCATCTGTGAAAGCTAAGTTGCCCCTCAGCTAGGCCCAAAAGGCAAGGGGCTCTACTCCAAAATCACCCACCTGTTCATAGAGGTGAAGTTTTCGAGCACGTTTCAACAGAGCATCCTTGCTGCAGGGTAGGAATGAGGCAAGATAGGCATAGACTCCAGATCGGATTTGGCTGCTCAGCTCCCGAGTCTGCACCTCTATGCTGAAGAATAGAACAGAGTTGTCAATAGCTGCAGCTTCTTTCCATGAGACCACTCTATCTAGAAAGGACAGGTAGGAGCCAAAAAGCAGATCAAACCTTATCTTCTTGGTCACACAATGTAACTGAGTGACCGAAACAACAGATCTTCAGCAATCAACAAACAAGAACTCCCAAACCTGATGAACTTGGCTAGGTGAAGTGGATCAAGGCTCTTAGGTCAAAGACAAGGCCAAGACAAAGGTGGTCATAGAAACAGGGCCCAAAAGAACAAGCTCTGAAGCACTAAATTTCATCAACAAAGAAAACAAAAGCTTTTGAAGTAGAAAGTAACTTGGTACATGGAGTTAAGAGGAAATATGTTTGGCAGCATTTCTTTTCTTCTTCCAGTTCCTAGTTTTTGTTGTTGTTCTGGTTCCTAGTTCTATCTACCATGGAGAGGTCAGAGAAATCCTCACCCCTCCAGTTTCCCTATGTAATATGTAGAAAGGTATTTCTCTCCAATTCCTTAAGCTTTCCACATTTGGCATGCTCAAGCACAGATCTCCCACCCACATGGATGCCCAGGTACTCCCTACAGTTCTCTTAGCATTCTCCCTTTCCCAAGCTCCCAGCCAGGTAAGGCCATTTGCTAGGACATGCCCAAGTCTTCCAAGTCTAGACAACTATTCCTACATATGCAAAATTCTCACTTGTGGAGTAACAAGCTTTCCCTGCTACATGACACAACCAGGGGAAGAACTATAACCTTGAGGGGCCAGATCTAAGGATCAATTTCTTCCTAGTTTAGATTCATATGTTTGCTTCTTCCCTGCTTTTCAAACCACTTCACACATTTCAGAGCCTCAGAGGCACAGGGTTCTGGCAGAAGTGCCACAGCTGATGTACACAAGCACCAGGAGGAGCGAGTACAAGAGGATGGGCAGCCAGGGATACCGAGGAGCACTTGGATGCAGAGAGCAGACCCCTGAGGCCGCCACGCTGTCTCTCACTCTTCTGGGTTCTCAGAGACAGGCAGGCAACCCGCCCTCTCTCTTCTCACCTCACAAAAGGCAAGAAACTCTCTTCCAACAGGCTGTGATTATCATATATAGTGTTCTAACACTTGCTGCCCAAGATAAGGGAGGTCTACCATCTCTGGAGACAAACATTTAGTATTTCTGTTTTTTATTAGAAAAACAATAGTGGGCTCGGCGCCTGTGGCTCAATTGGCTAAGGCACCAGCCACATACACCTAAGGTGGTGGGTTCGAATCCCCAGCCCGGGCCCGCCAAACAACAATGATGGCTGCAACCAAAAAATGGCCG